GAGACGAACCATGAGAGACAATGGGACTCTGAGAAACAAAATGAGGGTTCTAGAGGGGAGGGGGGTGGGGGGATGGGTTAACCTGGTGATGGGTATTAAAGAGGGCACGTATTGAATGGAGCACTGGGTGTTATACGCAAACAATGAATCATGGAACACTGCATCAAAAACTAATGATGTAATGTATGGTGATTAACATAATAAAATTTTAAAAAAAGATTAAAAAAATACCTTTTACAATAACTTTTTAAATGTTTTAAAGGATTACCAAGAACTAATTTAAGATTCAAAATCCGACAGGAACTAAAAGGGGAAAGTAAGAGAAACTCTAATATAGCAACATCTCACGTATGATTTATTTTAACTTAGATATTAAGAAGCCAATTTCATTTTAGAAACATTATAGAGCAATGTTTTCAACTTAAGGGATTAAAAGCTTCTTGTATATTTATTTCATCAGAGTTCCCAACGGTAATATTATCTTCCTGGATCTTTCTGTACCACATACTTTCAGAAAAAAAGGGAAAAAAAAGAATGCGGAGGCAAAAGAAAAAACAGGTCAGAGACATGCACAACTCCTAAAATATGGGGGATAAATTACCTGATTAAAAATATCTCCTCGTACAGCTTCACAGTCTACTTTGTATTTACAAATCAAGCAAGATGCTGTTGCAAAGGAACCTAAAAACAACCAATACACACATGCATTATTAAAGGAATGTTTCCCTTTCTTTAAACATACCACAAAGATTATAAAGTTTGACACCAGAAAAGAGAATTAAGACTCCACGGGGGGGTCGCCTGGGTGGCTCAGTTGGTTAAGCGACTGCCTTCGGCTCAGGTCATGATCCTGGAGTCCCCGGATCAAGCCCCACATCGGGCTCCCTGCTCGGCGGGGGGTCTGCTTCTCCCTCTGCCCTCTTCCCTCTCGTGCTCTCTGTCTCTCAAATAAATAAAATCTTTTTAAAAAAAAAGACTCCACGGGGGGAGCGCCTGGGTGGCTCAGATGGTTAAGCGTCTGCCTTTGGCTCATGTCATGATTCCAGGGTCCTGGGATTGAGTCCCGCATCGGGCTCCCTGCTCAGTGGGGAGCCTGCTTCTCCCTCTGCCTCTCTCTCTGTGACTCTCATGAATAAATAAATAAAACATTAAAAAAAAAAAAAAAAAGACTCCACAGGGGAATCTCAGGGGTGAATAATCAAAATACTTATATATAATACAGACAGAATCCAATCATTGAGATGTTGATATACACAGTGACACTTCCTAAAGCTATTCTTTTCAATAAAATAAACCAATTCCTCCAGAGCTAAAACTCTACAGAGTTGGAAGGTTATAATTGTGTGACCTTAGCTTAATTAACAGTTATACATTAAGAACAGATTTTTTTGTTTCTGGGTTGTTTTTTTTTTTAAGATTTTATTCATCCACTCATCCCAGAGAGAAAGAGAGACCACAAGCAGTGGGAGAAGAAGAGGGAAAAGCAGGCTCCCCACTGAGCAGGGAGCATGATGCAGGGCTCAATCCCAGGACCCTGGGATCACGACCTGAGCTGAAGACAGACATTTAACCGACTGAGCTACCCAGGCACCCCAAAAGCAGTTCAGATACATAAGAAAATGATCTGTGCCTACTTGTTGTCTTAGATTGAAAGTCTTCTATATTTCCAAATTCTATACATCTGAACTACCCCTGTTCCTCTGGTTTCATAAACTAAAGATGTCATATTTTTATTATATTGACATATAAAAAATATTGACATTACTTTTGTAATCAAAGACGGTTATTTAGAAGAATTTAATGGAATACAACTGCTACACCTTTTGAAACACAATAGAACGTTAATCTGATGTTTTGTGCAATTAAGTATCAAGCTCAATAATTCTGGTTTAATTTTTTTGCATTCTACTTTTCAAAATTTATCTACAACTGATCCGTTAACAATGACTAAATAAAAAGGCTTAATCTCGGATGCCTGGGTGGCTCAGATGGTTAAGCGTCTGCCTTCGGCTCAGGTCATGATGCCAGGGTCCTGGGATCGAGTCCTACTCCTTGGGGAGCCAGCTTCTCCCTCTGCCTCTCTCTTTCTGTCTCTTATGAATAAATGGATAAAATCTTAAAAAAAAAAAAAAAGGCTTAATCTCCATTTCTGGATGGCAGCCTACTTTCTAATCCTATTTTTTCCTATAAAACTAATTAAATAACAGAAAACAATTCTGAAGTTTACTAACCATGACACTGAATTATCCTTTGGATTCCTGCAACCTGTTCCAGTGTATCTATGTTCTGAGTATAGTTCCGAAGTAGTTTTCCTTCTTTATCTGACAAGGCTATGAATTTGTGACAGAGAGATGGTTGGAACTGTCCAGGATATATTTCCTATATAATGCAAAAGGCAAAAAAAGATTACAGTAAAGAAATAAGTATAACACATCTCATGTTTAGGTTTAACCAAATAACTACCAATGATAGTCCCCCATGTATAAATTAAAAAATACATGAGCATCTCAATGCATCTAGATGGTTGCAACACACACCTACAAAAGGATTGCTGCTGTAATATGTATAAAACTCAGCAATTAGTGAACTTGCCCCCTGAAGGAAAAAGTCAACCCATAAGCATCTCTAATAAATGTTAACAGATATCTTAATAAAAGTCAGAAAAAATACACACCTGAGAATATATCTAATTTTTTGTTGGCTGCAAATTCAGGGTTTGTTTTAAGGAAAAAGAAAAGTTTAAGTTGAAATTAAAGATATCAAAGATATGGTGACTTCTTTTAAAAACTAAAAGGCACTGTCAACACAATATTAAAAGTTGTTTATTCATCATTCATTATAAATATCAACCTGTTGGAAGTTTAAAGCTAAAGTTTTAATTCCTTACCAAAATTGTTTTCCTTCCACTGCACAGGCACATACTGGTATAGTATAGAGTTGCTCATGAATGCTGAGTTGCTGGATTTTGTGTGTGTGTTTTTCCCCCCAAATAATGCTTCAATGCTGTTTCTTCTTTAAAAACAAAGAATTCAGATATACACATGGCAAAAAGATCAGAGAAAAAGTATCAATTTTGGTCCTCTCAACTTTTGACAGTGTTTTTATTAAATTTCATTTAGTAAGTGACTATGGCAAAGGAAGTTTCTTCTCTACTTTTTTCTTTAAAGTAGTAATGCTGCCTACTTCCTTACCATTCATTACAGCCTCTAACCTATTACAATGCTAGCAAAAAAATCAGACACAACCGTATGTCTGTCAATAGGGGACCGGTTGTAGAAATACAGTACATCCATAATAGAGTATGCAGCCATTAAAATGAATGTGAGAGGTCTAGATGTACTGACCTGGAAAATGGTCCAATGACATGTGAAAAAAAGCAAGTTAGTCACCAGTGTGTAGAGTTTTGTTTTTGTTGTTTGTTATTAAGCAAAAATAGAAATTATGTGCACATGTATATATAGATACATTCATACAAACATCAAGTCAAGAAGGATACTAACAAGCTATTAACAGAAGTGGGGAAACTTTCAACTTCTGACACTATACAAAAAAGTTTAATAAGATTACGGATGACTTTACTTTTAACCTATTTAATATTCCAAATTTTAAGAAACTCTCTACAGGGATATCTTTTAGGAAAAATAATAAGCAATCTCTAACTACCACCACATACATGTTCGTATGCTACTGAAAATGTTTTACAAAAATCCAAAGATTCTGCCTCACATTCAAACTTTTATCATGAATTTCACTGACTACTTTGCAATTTAAGAAGCAGACAATGCATTCAGAAAGAATTAACAAGGGCTTATAAAGCTATGTTTATAGAGGCGCCTGAGTGGCTCAGTGGGTTAAGCGTCTGCCTTCAGCTCAGGTCATGATCCCAGGGCTCTGGGATCGAGCCCCGCATCGGGCTCACTGCTCAGCGGAGAACCTGCTTCTCCCTCTCCCTCTGCCTGCCACACTATCTGTGCTATCTCTCTGTCAAATAAATAAATAAAATCTTAAAAAAAAAAAAAAAGCTATGTTTATAGAAAACTGAAAGCTATATTATGTTTTGAACCACTGTATCATGCTATACTAACCATTGTTTTCTCCCCAGAATGCTTTGTTCTAGTACATTTAAAGGATTAATCGTCATAATTATTTACTAAGCTCTCTCTGGAAATGGCTATTAAAGTATTTATATAAAAAAAAAAGTTTTTACAACAAATATTACAATATGCTAGGCTACAAATAGGTTCTAATAAGGAACATGAGAACAGCATGCCAAACTCTTAACATGAACAAATGACTGCCTCCAGAGCAGGTTTGGGGAGCAAGAGTACCAAGACTCTACCCTCCTGGAATGAACTTCTCTATCTTATCATCCCCCATTCCTTTTATATATATATGTATAATAAATTTTTTTTTTAAAGTACGCTCCATGCCCAACAAGTGACTTGAACTCATGACCCTAACTAAGATCAAGAATTGCATGCTCTACCGACTAAGCCAGCCAGGTGCCCCTCCCCATTCCCTTTTTAAAGGGGAAGGTAAGAAGCACAAAGATGTTGTGGTACAGTAGATTCAGTTCTACACTCCAGTTTCCCTTCATGTCCAATCCGTAACAGTTCAGGGTAGTTTAGCCCTTAAAGTTACAAATCAATTCCTGTAGTTGGGGATAAATTATAAATAATTTATTTTATAAGCCTACATTTTATATGTTAGAACCTAAGTGATTTGAATCTTAACTATTTTCTTTCGCATATACAGTGGACTATGTTGCAATCATTAGATTTAAATACTGTATTCAAACTAAAGGATATAATGTGAAATAATGAAAAAAAATTACCCTGGAAGGACTTTTAATGGATATTACTCCCAAGACAGGCTCTTAACATGAAGTCTGCTAAAAACCAAATGGCTGTGGATAAAACTTTCAGATAAAAGTATGGATTGGGATGCCTGAGTGGCTAAGTCGGTTTAAGCATCTGACTTCAGCTCAGGTCGTGATCTTACACTCCTGGGCTCCCTGCTCAGTAGAGAGTCTGCTTCTTCCTCTTCCCCTGCCCCTCCCCGTGCTCTCCCTCTCGCTCAAATAAATAAATCTTAAAAAAAAAAAAAAGAGTCACAAAAGTATGGATTGATCTTCTATGTTGGAACTGTGACATGTTAGCTAGCCCTGTTCTAAGTAAGATAGACCATCCCAAATCTAAACATTGTAAAGTACTATTAGGAAAACAATTATGTGAGCTAGGCCATTCTGTTACTGCTATAGGGGTACTTATAGATTAGAATGAAAGCAGAACTGGGACCAATACTTGAAATGCTATTAAAAAGATGCATTGCTGGGGCACCTGGGTGGCTCAGTCGTTAAGCGTCTGCCTTCGGCTCAGGTCATGATCCCAGGGTCCTGGGATCGAGCCCCACATCGGGCTCCCTG